TTCGCGGTAAAAAATCTCTATGGCAAACTGGAACAATACCTATGATGACAACGTCAGATGACTCAGCCTCAAGCCTAGCCGGAAAAGCATAAATCGAGGGGGGGGGCTCCACTCTGAACTACGTCTTTTGGACGGCCCCTAGCTGGCTGGCCTCTACCTCTAACGGCCTGACCTCCACCTCTAATGGCCTGACCTCCACCTCTGGCTGCCTGACCCCTGCCTCTAGCTAGCTGAGTAGGAAGTGGGGCAACTGCTGTTGGAACTATGGCACAAAAACCCTGCTTCTTTGAGCTACCCAATGCCCGAGGGCAAAATCTAGCAATGGGCCTTGGATCACCACAAGTATAATAAAACCTCGGCTGCTATGACTGCTGACCTTATTGACCTGAGTAACCATTCTGAAAACTTTGAAGTGGAGGTGCACTAATAGGAGCTGGTGGTGCACTATAGGCTAGCTGGTAAGGATGAGACATATGAGGGCCGCGACCACCTAAAGCATTGTGAGATGCTTTGAGCGAGTGAAACGGCCTGTGAGGATGTCCCCTACCAAAAGTACCCTTGCTTCTAGATGAGGCACCATTGTACCTACTGAAATGACGAGGCCTCTTATCAGACCCGTACCCTCTCTCGTGTGCAAGAACTACCTTGATTCGCCTAGCAACATTAGCAACCGTCTAAAAGGAAATCTCACCCCAGGTCTCCTTGGCCATATGTAGCCTGATAGGGTGAGTGAATCCATCAATAAAACTCCTCACCCTCTCTCTCTCTCAGTACGAAGCAAAAGAAGAGCATGACGAGTTAGATCCATAAAATGGGTCTCGTACTAAGTAATAGTCATACTGTCATGCTGGAGACGCTCGAACAGCCTGTGGTAATCCTCTCTCAGTGTGATAGGGAGGAACTTCTCTAGGAATAATTGAGAGAATTGGTCCCAAGTAAGAGCATGCGGTCCAGCTAGTCTGGTCGACACGTAATCCTTCCACCATCTCTCGGCGGAATCCGTCATCTGAAACACAGCAAAATCAACCCCATTGTTCTCAACTATCCCCATGTTCCACAACACCTGATGACAGCGGTCAAGAAAATCCCATGGTTCCTCAGAAAGTACACTACTGAAGTTAACTGGGAAGATATTCGTGAACTTGTCCAATCTCAATAAGCCCTCAGAAGACATGGTGGGCCTATCATCGGCATGTGCCGCAACAACCGACTGAACTACCCCAACTGTTAGGGCTATTGGAGTCTGATACTGGGGAGCCATCTGCTCCAGAGTGTGAGTAGCGGGAGTATGTGCTCCTCTCCCAGCCTAAGTGACGGTTGGTGCCACTGAAAATGTACCGGCCTAGGCCACACTCTCCATAAGGCTCACCAAATGGACTAGAGCATCTTGAAGTACTGGGTGGCGATGAACCCCTCTGGTACCTGAGCTAGTCCAACAAGTATTGTCTGAGCTGGAACCTCCTCCTCAAAATCCACCTGAGGCTCCACTGTTGGTGCTGCTGCTCGAGCTCTAGGTAGAGCTCTGCCTTAGCCTCGACCTCTAGTGCGACCTCAGCCTCGACCTCTGCCCCTCATATGAGCTGCCACTGGGAGCACCGACTGTTGTTCATCTAAAGATGCAGTATTTGTTCTCTCCATCTACGAGAGAACAAGAATAGAAGAGTTAATCAGCAATGATAGAATAAGATTGCACGACAGGGAAGAATAGAAGTGAAATTGTTTCTAAACAGTAAACTCCATAGCCTCTGGGAGATAAGTACAGACATCTTCGTACCGATCCTCGAGACTCTACTAAGCTGCTCGTGACTCGTGAGACCTAGGAAAACTAGTACTCTAATACCAACTTGTCACGACCCAGAATTTCCACCTTCGGGATTGTGATGGTGCCTAACATTTCACTCGCTAGGCAAGCTAATGTTAGAGTAAATTATAAGCCATTTCAACAATTCAAAAATTTAAAACTCATTTTAACTGAGCTTCTAGAAGTACTATAAATAAGTACACGAGCTTCTAGAAGTACTACAAATAAGGTCTGAAATAAGTACAATTGTCTCGAATGAAATGAACAGTACTAAGAAAAGGGGAATGGGACTTCAAGGTCTGCAGATGCCAACATCTCTACCTCGAGTCTCCAAGTATGCAAATCTGAGCTGATGCACCACATGTACAGCTGGGACCAATACCAAAATCTGCATAAGAAGTGCAGAGAGTAGTATGAGTCTAACCGACCCAATGTACTCCGAAGTGTCGAGCCTAACCTCGACGAGGTAGTGACGAGACTATAACAGGACACTCACGTAATTAACCTATACAAACGAGGAATATATATATATACAACATAACAACAAATAGAGATTTAAACACGTACTAGTAGGACGGGACATGCGAAAGGGGGTACAAGGTACGGTAACTACAACAGGAACCGACTACATGAAACAATAAATAACCTTCAACCAATGAAAACGGATAAAAAATGAATAAAGACTGCACGACATCACCCATCGTGTTTTTACTCTCAACCTCACTATGGAACAGAAATAATGGCACGGCATCACCCTTCGTACTTTAACTCTCAATCTCTCCATAAGATGATAAATATGGCACGGCATCACCCTTCGTGCTTTTACTCTCAATTTCGTCACAAAATGGTAAATACGGCACGACATCACCCTTCATGCTTTAACTCTCTTCCTCACTATGTATAAATCAACAACTGAAATAGTAATCAGTACGACATCACCCTTCGTACTTTAACACTCTCTCCCTAACCCTGAAGCAATGAATATATAACATTTGGGAGAAAGAATAATCAAGAATCGACCTTGCATCATCAATGGTTCCACAATATCGAACCTCAAATTCTAATAATATTCAACTATCACAAATAGTTCATTAGTGTGGAAAGAACAATCGATTAAGTAATAAAATAGTCTAAGCATGGATATCATAATCAATTAAGGAAATAAATTACAAGAAACAAGTCTCACCCGCATGCTTTAACCCAACAAAAACGCATAAGTATGCGCCACCTCACATATACGTTGTACCCAACAGTTAAACATGTATCAAATAGACAAACAAGTCCTAATCCCTCAAGTCAAGGTTAACGACGACACTTACCTCATTCTGCAGTCAACTCAGAGCTCTACCGGGGCCTTTTCTGTAGAATCTGTCTCCAAACCACTCGTATCTAATCACAATCGACACGATAACGTCAAATAATGCTAAGGAAATCAATTGCAATACATAAAGATAGGATTTTTACACCTTTTCAAAAAAGCCAAAAACAGCCCAACCTTGGGCCCGCAAGGTCAATACCCGAGGTTCGGACCAAAACCCATATACCCATTCAACCCCGAGCCCGATTACGTAATTAGTTTTGAAATCCGACCTCAAATTAAGATCTAAATCCCGAATTAACAAAAATTCTCAATTCTTCCTAAATCCCTAGTTTTCTTTCATGGAAGAACAAGGATTAGGGCTAGAAATTAATGGGTGATGTTAGAAATGGAAGAAAATGAGTTAAAGTGTACAAACCTATAAATTGGTGTTGAATTTCTCTTCAAATAAGCCTCTAGGCCGAGCTCTAATAGAAGGTTTATGAAAAATGGGAGAAATCCCGTTTTTGAAACATTTAAATCACTGGGCATCAGGCCTTCTTTGCATTCGTAAAGGGCTTGACACGATCGCGAAGCACATCAGCTCATTGGCCTACGCGTTCGCGAGTTACACTTCGCGTTCACGAAGGCTTACACTCACCTGCCCCCGCGTTCGTGAGCCTAGGGCTGCGTTCGCGAAGAGTAACAGTCAGATTCCGCTCATAAGGCACATACCCCTACACATTCGTGAGATGCTGGTCACGTTCGCGATGGGTAAAACCCCATACACTCCGCGTTCGCGACCCAACTATCGCATTCGCGATGAAAAGAATCATCCCCTGTCCCAAACTCCCCTTTGCGATCACAAGAAAGGCTTCGCGATCACGAAGCACATGACACCAGATACAACACTAACTCAAGAAGCCAAAAATTTTCTAAGTTCAAATGGTCCGTAGGCTATCCGAAACTCATCCGAGCCCTTAGGGCTCCAAACCAATTATGCACACAAGTCCAAAAATCTCATACGAACTCGCTCACACGATTAAAAGACCAAAATAACACCTAGAACTATGAATCAGACGCCGAATCAAATGAAATTTCCGATGAAACATAAAAATTTCTATTTTAACAACCGGATGTCCGAATCACGTCAAATTAACTCCGTTTTGCACCAAATTTTACAGACAAGTGATAAATATGGCAATGGACTTATATCAAGTTCTGGAACCAAAATACGGACGCGGTATCAACAAGGTCAAATATTGGTCAAATTTATAAAGTCCTTAAACCTTTAGACTTTAAATTTTTAACAAATTGCGATAACTCGAGCTAGGTGCTTCCAAATTCGATTTCGGGCATATGACCAAGTCTCAAATCATAATACGGACCCACCGGGAGCGTCAAAATACCGGTCCGGGTCCATTTGCTTAAAACATTGACTGAAGTCAACTCAAATAAATTTTTAAGGCACGAATTTATATTTTAGTCAATTTTTCACATAAAAGCTTTCCGAAAAAAGGCACGAACTACGCACGCAAAACGAGTAAGACTAAACGGAGCTATTTAAGGTTTCAAAACATAGAATTAAGAGTTAAAACTCTAGATTACCTATCGGGTCATCACATAAATGACTAAAAATCTCAAATTTGATTCTGATGATGAAATAATTTATTAAGAAACATCTTACTTAGTAAATTTTAAAAAAGGTCAAATATATATGTGGCCCTTAAACTTATTCAAATATTTTATTTAGACATCTAAAGTAAGTATATTCCTATTAAACACTTGAAACTAAGTCTTTGTGTGACATTAGACATACATTGCTGACATGGCATCATTCACTTCAAAAGAGAGAGCGAAGGACCAAAATTTGTATTTTTAATTTTTTTTCCCCTCTTTTCCTTCATCTTCTTTCTTCCCTGTCATGTAGCCATTTCCGCCATCACACGATGCAAAAATGAACGCATACCATAAAGTAAAACTCCTGATTCACTTATATGAACAATCAAATTTCTACATCCCTTTTTCACTATTATCTCCGCACTACTAAAAAATGTGCAAATTCCGACTGAAACTTTTCGACGGAAAATAGTAGTCGGAAATTTCCGGCGGTTTTAATCAGAAAATGTAAAAAAATTTATTAAATTTTTAAAAAAATTTCGACCACATTCCGACAACACTAGTCGCAACATTTTGGCGCAAAAATCCAAAATTTTTGTTAGCGATCGATTTGGTCGGTCCATGAAAGTCAACTTTTATGTTTCACCAGTTTTGTTCTTTCGACTGAAACGGTCGGAACATTAAAAGTTAAAAAATAAATTTTTTCCTTTATTTTCCAACTGATTCGGTGGAAAATCTTTTTAAATTTTTTGTCAGTGATATACCGACCCAAACATTCGGGCAATAAATATTATTTTATTAGTACTTTTGCATCCGACCGAGTCGGTCAAAAATATGTTTTGGAAACCTCCCCGACCCCTTTCTTCTTCTCTTTCACTTTTCTTCCTTTCTTTCTCTTCTCTTTCTCTTCCATCGACGACGTTCTTGTTTGTATATCAATTTTCCAAAGGTATCAATTTCTCCCACCTCCCTTTGTCGCGGCCAAATTTGTTTTTTTAACCCAACTAATTGTTATTTTTTTTCCTTTTCAGGCAGCAAATCCGGCGTCTAGGGGTTGTTTTCCGGTGAGGTAAGTTCTCCGTTCATCCTTTCTCTGGCCTTCAATCTTAATATATTTGTTCTTTTTTGTTTTGTTTATTACAATTCAAGTTATTAATTTTACACTATCATATGTAATTGAATCTTGAGAACCATTATAACAAAAGCTCTAAATTCATATTTTAGGGAATTGAAGTAGATAATTCGCTTTCTTCCTAAGGCATCTATAAGTACTTTTTTTTAACTAAGCTAGATGTTCTTTATGGCTTTTTAACTTACTTTATTTAGCTTTGGACTAGTAATAATTAACCTCTAGACTTTGAGTTTTCTTGATTCCTCTTCCTAATACGATGTACAAGTGAACTATATATACTTGTGTGCTAATTTTGTTTTGTATATGGTATTGATCTTGAAACCTACTCCTAAGTAACGGAAAAAAAATAATGCCCTTGCCTTTATCTAATTTGACATCCTGAGAAGTCATTGTAACAAAAGCTCTAAATATGCAATTCTAAGACTTGCAAACACATGATATTTTTTTAATTATTATGCAATAAGCCAAATGTACATAATATCACCAATACTTGAGGAACTCTTCCCCCCTGCCCCTTAATTCAAATATGATTATGGAATAAGGTTTATTGAAAAAGCATCAAGAAAGTTTCTTGGGATTGTAAATGAAGCGAAGATTTGTGTGCATGTTTAATTACGTAACTTTTTATGTTAAAAATCTAATTGTGTTACTTATGAAACATAGCTAATAGTGATATTAATTTTAAAGAATATTAGTTTAGAGAAGTTTAATACTTATCAATTTTTGTAGATGGAATTTGGGTATCGTAGATGAATATATAATAGGAATTATCCGAATCGTATGGGGTTTCGGGATGAATTTATGGAAGGGGTTGCTGACTTTATTGCTAATGCAAAGAAACTTGATGATTTTCTTATTGAAGGGACGATTAGGCGCCCTTGTGTGAAATACAAGTGTGTTAAGTTATTCGGACCAGATACTATTACTGTTCATCTCTATAAGAAGGAGTTTATGAAAAACTATTATTTGTGGATTGTTCATGAGAAAAGTCATGCTAGTGCAGATGGTATTGATTTTTTAGAATTCTTTTGGTAGTGAAGAAGATAGTCTCATAGAGGAGAATATTTATGTTGAAAGTTCTCAATTTAATGACATGACGAGTGATGCTTTTGAGATGTTCCCAGAGGCTCAATCTGAACCAAATGATGAGGCTAAATGCTTCTTCAAACAGTTAGCCGAACCTAATTGTCCGCTTTATGAAGGCTTGGTGCATTCCAAGTTATGTATTGTAATTAGACTACTAAATATTAAATCGGATAATTCTATTTCTCAATAGGGCATGGATTCTATCATTGGCCTTATGAGCGAACAATCCAACAAAGATTGACATACCCAAATATTTTTACACAGCTAAAAAATTAGTTTTCAAGTTGGGTCTTTCATTGGAAAGGATTGATTATTGTAAAAAAGGTTGCATGTTATTCTATAAGGATGATGCACCTTTAAAAAATTACAAATTTTGTAACCAGCCTCGTTACAAAGAAGTCACAAATGCTAAACAGAAGAAGGTTCCAATGAAGGCAACGCACTACTTACCCTTTATACCAAGGTTAAAGAGGTTATATGGATCAATGAACTCCGCTCCTCATATGAGATGGCACTATGAACATAGAAGGCCAGATGGTGTTCTATGCCATCCGTCAGATGGAGAAGCATGGAAGTCTTTTGATAGGGTATTACCAGACTTTGCTAGTGAACCAAGAAACATTAAGTTGGGATTATGTGCTGATGGATTCACTCCATTTGCAGCCTCTGCTGCACCATATTCAAGTTGGCTAGTGTATGTGACGCCGTATAATCTTCCGCCTGAGTTGAGTATGACAAGTTCATATTTGTTTCCAACTTTTATTGTTCCAGGTCCATGCAATCCAAAAAAATAATTGATGTTTACATATAGCCCTTGATTGATGAGTTGAAGTTATTGTGGCATCAAGGTGTGAAAATATATGATATGTCAACTAAGCAAAACTTCAAATTGCGTGTTGTTTTAATGTGTACTATAAATAATTTTTCTACTTATGGAATGATGTCCGGGTGGTCAAGTGCCAGAAAGTTAGCTTGTCCGACTTGTATGGAAGACACAAAGGAATTCACTTTGAAACATGGAGGCAAGAACACATGGTTTGACTTTCATTGTCGCTTCTTGCCAATGAATCATGAGTTTAGGAGAAATACCAGTGCATTTATGAATAACAAAACTGATTATGAGGTGCCACTGCATGTCTTGTCGCCTAAAGAGACTTGAAACAGAGTTAGGAATCTACCTAAGGTAACAGAGTATCCATTATCTAATGACATGCATATCAAGAAGAACTTTTTTGATAACTTGTTTAATACTATGATGGATCAGCAACAAGACAAAAGATAACTTGAAGGCTAGGATGAATTTGAAAAAATATTGTAGGTGAAGTGAGTTGTACTTGACATACTTGAACAACAAGATTCAGAAGCCTAAGACTAGTTATACACTTTTGATGAGAGAAGAGAGATTTGTGATTGGGTTAACAATTTGAAGATGCCTGATGGATATGCATCAAACTTATCTAGGTGTGTTGACATGAAAGAAGGGAAGTTGACGTTTATGAAAAGCCACGATTGTCACATTTTCATGGAATTTTTTATGGCTATCGCTTTCAATGTTTTGCTTGATAGAATATTGAAGCCCATCACAGAGATATGCTTATTTTTCAAGGAGTTGTACTCTATCACATTGTAGGTTGAGAACCTAGATTACATGGGTAGTAATATTCGTTTAACTTTAAACAAGTTGGAAAAAACTTATCCGCTTGATTTTTTTTGATGTGATAGAACATCTTCCAATTCACCTTGTGCAAAAGACACAACTAGGAGGTCCAGTTTAATGTAGATGAATGTATCTCTTCGAGAGATAAACCTTTAATCAATTATCCTTACGTATTTTAGTTAAACATTATTTTATCTTAAAATCGTGCTATGCAACATGATTGACAAATATAAGCGGACCGTGAAAAGTAGATCAAGGATATAGGGGTCAATATGTGAGGCATATTTGGATAGAGAAACTTCTTATGTTTGTTCATATTATTTAAACTTGATGTGTTATGTTTAAGAAATAGACCTGATCGGCATGATGATGGAGGCAATACCGATCCATTGGCACCACCTTTTTCCATATTCAATCAACCTGGAAAAGGTGGTCCAAAACGTAGTCCAACACAATTTTTGATTGAGATGGAGCTAAATTCATCTACAACACATGTACTACTAAATTGTCCCGAGGTCCAACCTTATTACAGGTAAGTGTATATTTATATTGCCAACTTATTCAAGATCAATTATCAATTATTTTATCTAATGAAAGTTTCATTTCTTTCGGACAGTTGGTTTGGGGGTACATTTGGGTATGAGCATGTTTATCCTAACACTGTGTAAGTATTAGTGAAGTTTGCTTCAAGGCAAATTATTATCAATTGTACGTACTTTTTAAATTCTAGTTGTTATTGGGTTCGCTCTAGGTTCATAATCCAGATAATGACGTAAATGATCTATTTTGCGTGATATTGCTTGGGGACATGACCCTAAAGTCAGAATGATGTCTAAGTACTACATCAATGGGTACACGTTTCATACATAAGAATGGTCTAAGGTACTCATTTATCATTGCACAAAATATGAAACATGTGCATTATGTACCTTATCCTTTGTGTAAGAATAAGGTTGTATGTCGGGTAGTGATATCAACAAAGCCCGTGGGTAGAGTTGAAGTCAAGGATGTATTTGATGTAGCGTACCAGAATGACATATCAAATGTTGAATCAATAGTGGATGATGAACTAGTAGGTGAATTCCAGGATAGTGAATGCCTCTATGAAGAATTCGATCCTTCAATCCTAGATCAAATCAAAGTGAGTATAAGGAAGGAACATCCATGGCAAACAAGGACGGAGATTCAAGTGATGAATATGAAGCAAGCGATGATGAAGAATTATATGATGAAAATGAAAAAAGATGATAAAAATGAATATGATCAATATGAAGAAAGCGATGAGGATTGAGTTATTTGTGTGTTTTATGACTTGTTTGATTTCTTATGTTATTCCTTATGTTATTGTTTTATTTTTATATTTAGTTGGATTGTTTATCTGTTTTTTCTTTAATTATTTTAATATATAGAAGAATTGCTTTATACTATGACATCATAGTTGATTTTTTTTATTATTATACTTGTTTTACTTAAATTGCACATACGACTTCCAAGGTAAAGAACATAAATAATCTAAGAAGAAAAAAAAATACTTTGCCATCTACAAGTCACATTTATTCACATATGCCTAGTATGAGTACTCCTCCTCGTATTCTGAGTCCTTCTCAGTCGACTTCATTACCACCCAAGTTTTTCAGAATTCCTCCCTCCGGTCAGTACAGTACGGTATTATTCCATGTCAGTAAATGGTGGTTCAGCCTCCAATACTATTAATTTTATGCCCACACCTACTTTGCCACCTTTGAGTCATCCCGTCCCTGCTAGTCAACTTGGTGGCTCACCATTGATTCTATCCTCGGGCGGCCATAACAATCAGCATGATGGTTTGTCTTTTGTGCCTCCATCATCATCCACTCCATATCATCTCTATCATTATCTACTCGTAGTATATCTAGACTGGATATTGGAGGCTCCCAAACGGCTCCATCCCTATCTACAATTACTACTTCAGTTGTTTCTTCACGGAGACAGTATGCTCGTGGGACTGTAGAGTACGATCATTTGCATCGGTTGATTATCGTACCCCATGAAGACGAGTAAGTTATTCTTTATTTTTAATTGTTTGAATAAAGTTCTACATATATTCAATTTAATAAAGGTTTATTTTACATGTTAAATATGATGCAAATTTTTGTCATCATATCAGGCCACACATATGGTTGTGGAATTTATGAAGCTATTTTTTCATGAGCCGTAGAATTTATGAAGCTATTTTTTCATGAGCCGTGGAATTTCTGAAGTGAGATACCATATCAGATTAGAGTGAATATGTGGCATCAATTTAAGGTACGAATAAATAAAATTTATGTAATACTTGTTATGTTCATCTAACTTTTATTTTAATTGCAGACTAATTGTGTATGGCAGCCTCAACATGAAATTTAGGTGAATGCAAATTTCGAGAAGAGAACTCAAAAAATAATTAAAGATAGTCATTTTGTTGCTCGGAAAGGTGGCAACAAGCCCAATTGATTTTGTGAAGATGTATGGCTTCAACTTTTAGAGAAGTGGAATACCGATGAATGGAAGCAGAAGAGTAAAAAAGCAAAGACAAATAGAACCTTCAATAAGGGTAGATCATTGCACACCGAAAGTTCAATTAGTTTTGCAGTCTATCGATTGAGATTGGTAATTTATTTATAAAATTTTTCTTGGTATATTAATTATATGTGATCGTAAATATATTAACTCATATTTTTAATTTTGGTAGGAAAAGGAACATGGGAGAAATGTGTCCCATGCTCATGTGTTTGAGGAGACACATAGGAAAAAGAAAAAGGATGGTACACGAGAAGGAAGGGTTGAACCGCGTGCATAATAGACATATGTAAAATTCTAAATTCAATACTACTTTTTTTTTGTTAAGAATAGTTTACAACAACGACCAGTAAAATCTCACAAGTGGGGTCTGGGGAGGATATTATGTAAGCAGACCTTACTTCTATCCCGAGGGGGTAGAGAGGCTATTTCCAATAGACCCTCGTCTCAAGAAGACGAAAAGAGACAATATATTAGTATCATCAACAAAAAAACCATAGAAATAATAACAACATCACAAAAACCAGTAAATAGATAAGAAAGTAAAAATAATAACCCGTAAATAAGGCCCGACACTATAAAAACGGAAGAGTAGTGTAAACACAACATTGACCACTAGCAGTCTAAGACTATTCCTATCAGCCAAGCATCACACTCGTAGACTAAATATGTTCAACTACTTCCTAACATACAACCTTAATCTCCACAGCTTCCTATCGAGTGTCATGTCCTCGGAGATCTGAAGCCTTGCCATATCCAGCCTGATCACCTCTCCACAATACTTCTTAGGCTGCCCTCTACCTCTCCTCGTAACCACCAATTCCAACCGCCCGTACCTCTTACCAGGGCATTCGAGTTTCTCCTCTGTACGTGCCCGAACCATCTGAGTCTCGCTTCCCGCATCTTGTTATCAATGGGAGTCATGCGCACCTTCTCCCGAATATCTTCATTCCTAATCTTATCCATCCTAGTATGCCCGCACATCCACCTCAACATCCTCATTTTTGCTACTTTCATCTTCTGGATATGTGAGTTCTTACCTGGCTAACACTTAGCCCCATACAATATGGCTGGTCTAACCACCGCTCTATAAAACATACCTTTGAGTAGCGGTGGCACTTTCTTGTCACACAGGACTCTAGATGCTAACCTCTATTTAATCCACCTCACCCTTATACGGTGTGTGACATCCTCGTCGATCTCCCCATCCCCCTGGATAGCCGACCCAAGGTACTTGAAACTGCCTCTCTTAGAAATGACCTACGATCCAAGCCTCACATCAATGCCCGCTCCCTCGGCTCGACACTGAACTTGCACTCAAGATATTCTATCTTCTTCCTGCTCAACTTGAAATTCTTAGACTCAAGGGCCTGTCTCCAAACTTCCAGCCTCTTCTTAATGTCACTCCGCGTCTCGTCAATCAGAACTATGTCATTAGCGAATAACATATACCATGGCACCTCTCCTTGAATATGGTGTGTCAGTGCGTCCATCACCAGGGCAAATAAGAATGGCCTGAGCGTAGATCCTTGGTGTAACCCCATAACAATTGAAAAATTCTCAATGTCGCCTCCCACTGTCCTAACTCGAGTCTTAGCTCCATCATACATGTCCTTAATCGCCTTAATGTAAGCAACCGACACACCTTTAGCCTCTAGGCATCTCCAAAAAACCTGTCTAGGAACCTTGTCATGTACTTTCTCCTGATCAATAAACACCATGTGTAGATCCTTCTTTCTATCCTTGTACTGTTCCACCAACCTCTTAATAAGGTGGATAGTTTCTGTAGTAGAACGATCCGGCATGAACCCGAACTGGTTGTCTGATACAGACACCGCCCTCCCCAGCCTCACTTCTACCACCCTCTCCCAAACTTTCATGGTATGACTCAGTAATTCGATACCCTTATAGTTGTTGCAACTCTGGATATCACTTTTATTATTGTACAACGGAACCACCGTACTCCACCTTCATTCATCTGGCATCCTCTTCGTCCTGAAAATAATATTAAACAACCTAGTTAGCCACTCTAAACCTGCTCTACCCACACACCTCCAAAATTCTACTAGAATCTCGTCGGGCCCGGTAGCTCTGCCCCAGCTCATCTTACGCATAGCCCCCATGACCTCCTCAACCTTTATGCGCCTACAGTACCCAAAATCGCGGTGACTCTCGGAATTTCTCAACTCACCTAGCACAATATCCCGATCCCCTTCTTCATTCAGAAGTTTATGAAAGCAAGTCTGCCATCTTCGCTTAATCTGGTCCCCTCCCATCAATACTCTACCGTCCTCGTCTTTGATTCTCCTCACTTGGTGCAGATCCCGAGCCTTCCTCTCTCTCACCTTGGTCAGTTGGAATAATTTCTTCTCCCCGCCTTTGGCTCCTAGTTCCTCGTACAGACGACCAAAAGCCGCAATCTTAGCCTCCATGACCGTCAGTTTTGACTCCTTCCTAGCTACTTTATAACTCTATTTGTTCGTACTCCTCTCTACCTCGCATGTGCTCCTTACTAGCTTCAGGTATGCCGCCTTCTTCGCTTCTACTTTACCTTGGATCACTTCATTCTACCACCATTTGCCTTTGTGCACGCCAGCATAACCCTTCAAGACTTCCAACACCTCTCTTGTTGCCTCCCTTATATAATCCACCGTCGTCGACCACATATCTCTCGCGTCTTCACTACTCCTCTAAGCTCCCACAACCGATAACCTCCCTTCTAAATCCTGAGCTTTATTCTTAGTCAAGGCTCCCCACCTAATCCTCAATCGATCTCGTGCAGTCCTCTTCTTCCTCTTCATCATGATACCAACGTCCATCACCAAGAGCCTATGTTGCGTCGCGAGGGTATCATTCGAGATAACCTTACAATCCTTACACAGCCCTATGTCGCACCTCCTAAGGAGAAGATAGTCAATCTGATTTTTCGTCACCGTACTCTAAAAAGTAACCAAATGCTCCTCCCTCTTCGGAAAACTAGAGTTAGCAATCACCAACTCAAATGCCTTAGTAGAATCCAACAACAAAGTACCTTCTGCGTTCTTATCCCCAAAATCGAAGTTGTCATGCACCTCGCCATAGCCGCCTGCAATCGACCCAATATGACCATTAAAATCCCTCTTATAAATAACCTCTCAGCAGGCGGAATACTACGCACAATCTCATCCAACCCCTCCCAGAAGCGCCTTTTAACCTCCTCATCCAAGTCCGCTTGCAGCGCATAAGCACTAACGACATTTAGGATGCACTCTCCAACCCCCAAATTAATAAACATTAACCTATTATTCACTCGCCTAACCTCTACCACAGACTCTCTAAGTTCCCTATCCACCAAAATGCCTACACCATTCTTACCCTTCAGGACTCCAAAGTACCATAGCTTATACTCGTCTGTATTCTTCGCCCTCGACCCTATCCACCGAGTCTCTTGGACATACATTATATTGACTTTCCTCTTTTGTAGGATCTTCGCCAGCTCTATAGACTTACCCATCAATGTAACTATGTTCCATGACCCAATTCTCAACCTATAGGCACCCTTATGTCCCTTACCTCCTTTGCATCTCGTCACACCCCCTAACCCCTGCCCCACCCCCACCCCACACCCTAGCCTCCCCGAGGACATGACCTTACTCTACCATCCCAGACTACAGTCATTATACGTACAACAGACTAAGGAGAATCACTCACACACAATAGGCAAACGGACCAGACTAGGAGAAAACAAGTTGATGCTAATTGAATGCTTTACACTAATGCGAAATAAAAAGGCAACAGTTTAACTAAAACAAGGAAAGGAAAATAGGAAAGTGGGTGGTACCAACTCCCAGGTATAGAATAGTTTGTTTATATAATATTTATCATTCTTATTTCAGGAAGAGTATTAAAGAAGATTGGAGGAATGGCACTCAGCCTGATTCCTAACCGTCCCCCGAAGATATGACTTCAATATGGATACAAGCAACCGGTGAAGTAAATAAAAGTATAGAATTTTGTAGTAATATTCGTTTTAATATTAGTAATATTGATTTTAATATTAGAATTTTGTAGTAATATTAGCTTTATATAATATTTATCTGTTTTTCTTTATTTCTCATGAAAATAACTAAAGATAGAGTCTGCGAACTTGGAGTACAACCATCCTCCAATCATCCAGCCGCATTATTTAGTGATGCTTCTACTTCACCCGAAGAAATTGAGACTATGCGGATACAAATTAATGAATTGTTGCAACAATGGAACAATGCTCAAGAAACAATAAGTATGATGCGGATATTCATGGAAAAACATGGCAATCAACGTACAATGGAGAAATCTAACAATGAGGAGACTGAAACTAATGAGGAATAATATTTTGAATGTGTTATATGATATTTAGACTTGATTGGTTTCAACTCAGTTTTTAGACTTGGTTGCATGTTAATGTTATTTTCTTAATGTGTTTTAAATTAAATGTCATTTTGGTTGAAACTTTTCTAGTGGTTTAATAGAATTTACACTTGTTAAATAATTTTGTTATGTTTAAACTAGTTTGATATTTGATATTTTTGGCTCAATTGATTGAGAAATTGTGATATTGGTTGAATGATATTGGCTATTTGATTTGGCAAAGGGTGTAGCTTAAAATACAGCAGAATTCTGTTGAAATTTACCAAATTTTGCGACTGATTTCCGACCACTTTAGTCGGAAACTTTAACTGGAAATTTCCAGATTTGCGACTAAAGTGGTCAAAAATTTAATTAATTTTAATTATTTTTGACCGATTCGGTTGGAAGGTTTGAATATAATTATAATTAATTATTAATAGTACTGACTAAATCGATCGGAAAATTAATTAATAATTAATATTTATCTTTAAACTTGTGCCAGAATCAGTCGCAAATTTACCGATCAAAACGGTTGATCGTTTTAATTTTATTCTGTCAACTCGTTTTTCCCAGTTGCGACCAAAACAATCGTTTCCGACCGGATCGATGGCAAATATTTTACGACCATCAATTTTTTGACCACTAGAAATCCGTCAAAAATAATAGATTTTGGCCGATTTCCGAATGATTTGGTAGTCAAAAATTTAACATTTTATAGTAGTGTCCGGACAAATATGCTTTACTGCCGAAGGAATGTCAAACAACGTCACTTCAATTACAAATAGTGACATTAATTTGACATTCTTCTCTCTCTTATATATAAGTTGAATTTTTCCTTTTGGATTTCTAAGACAAAAGTCTTTACTTCCATTACGAATCTCACGCACCATTACTTAATAGCTTGTTTGGCCAAGCTTTTTCAAATTCCAAAGCAATTCTTTATGATTGTTTTCAAAGTTGAAGTGTTTGGCCAAACTTTTAGAAGAAGAAAAAGTATTTTTGAGTAGAAGTAGTTTTGGAAAATCAGAAAATTATAGTTTCTCCCCAATAGGGGTGGCTTGACATATTTTGTTGCCTAACGCCAAATATTAATCTGAGGCCTTTTTTTATTTATAATTTCTATCTTAATTCAATATTTTTTTAAAGAAAAAAACATAATGAACCCAAATAGTCGCTCACCTAATCTCTGGAAGAAAAACTAGCCGTCGAATATATATATATATATATATATATATATATATATATATGTGTATAATCAATGTATAATCTATGTATATCGGCTAGAAAAAATCCTTCAATTAGTAACTGTCACGACACAAAATCCACTAGTCGTGATGGCATCTAACCACAACCCGCTAGGTAAGCCAACTGCTAACTATTCAATTTCAATAATATTAATCAAATAATTAAACAAAGGAATTTTCTAAAACTTTTATATTTCCTAAGGACTGGTAGTACAAATCATGAACTTCTAAGAATATAGTTTACAAAGCTGATAGGAAGTAAATACATCTTCTGTTTGAAAAGTACATAAACAGAGTTTTATAAATCTACGGCTACCATGAACAAGAGGCAGCCACAACCGGAACGCAGGTACATCTTCCAATTCAGCTCCCATCGAACTCAGCAACATCGACATCCGAAATCTGCACGTAATGTGCAAGAAGTGTAGTATGAGTACGACCGACCTCATGTACTCAATAAGTAACAAACCTAAACTTGGTTAAAAGTAGTGACGAGTTGGAACATAGGTCGGATCCAACACCAATAACCAATTGCAGTTCATAATAATGTGAAGCATATAAATAAGGAAGTAACTCAAAGATAAAATGTTCGGCTTTTTCACGGTTTTTCGAAAATAGTTTTGTCTTTCAAGAGTATCAGTGAAAACCCAAATTCTTTACCGAAATCGTCGTAAAATATGAGATAGTTTGAAAATTGTATTTCTTTTTCTAAAAATCCTTTTCACGATAAATAAGATGTTTTATTTTCTTTCTAGATAGCAAGTGTGAGATACCTCTCTATGACCATATATCAATGTGTGCAAAAAGTCATAAATAACGTGATACCGTACATCATGAGGGAAATGCGTTGATGTGCATGTATGTCATATATGCATGCCAATGCCATGTATCCCAGAGATGAATCATGTACTCACACTCTCAGAGTACTCAATCTCGTTGTCTCACACTTTTCACTCATCATACTCAATCACTCGGTACTGTATATGGCCCATGCGGCCCAAGGAAATCCATCCCGGAATATATACAACACTGATTATAAGTCACCAAGTACCTAGGAAAAAGAGCAATCCAACCCTGTGGAGAAATCTACCTCCAAATGTCAAATACTTCGGACAAATCTATGTCTAGGGAAATCCATCCCTCAATAATATCATCCGCGCTCACTGGGGGAGGGGGTGTTACCGACTTCGGATGAGCTCCTACAGCCCAAGCGCTATCATAATCATCAATATAACCGTTGCATCGTGCATCTCGATCCCATAACTGTCACTCATAATCAGGCTCTCGGCCTCACTCAGTTATCAATCTCTCCAGTCTCTCCCATGGGCTCACAATGTCATGAAAACTGACCCGGAATAATGAAATGATATATCAATAAGTAACAACTGAGACTGAGATATGATATAAATGCATGAATGTGACTAAGTAGGAAATATCAATGAAATCAATGAGATGATAGCATGAAACGACCACTATGGGTCCGAACAATATTGGCATGAAGCATAAGCATGATATCTAGCATGATGTACAGCTCAAATTACTTATCACATGGTGAAAACACATATATCAACAAAGTAGGGCCACTATACAGTGCCCTTAAGACAACGGAGTCACAATTCACAGGGTACACGCCCACACGCCCGTCACCTAGAATGTGCGTCACCTCAACACCAATCACATAGCACATAATTCGGGTTTCATACCCTTAGCACTAAGTTTGAAAGAGTTACTTGTCTCAAACAAGCCAATTCCAAACGCCGAGCAAGCCAAGCGATGCTCCAAGAATGCCATCACGTGCGTAGCAACCTCCGAACGGCTCAAACTAACCAAAAGCAACTCAAAAACATTAAGTAAAACCCAAGGAAACGATTACAAATGATAAATATCAAATCCTAAATAAATTCCCAAATCCGGCCAAAAATCACACCCGGGCACACACCTCGAAATCTGACAAAACTCACAAAATCCGACAACCTATTTAATTATGAGTCCAACCATTCTAGTTTCACTCAATTCCGACTCCAATTCGATATTCAAAACTCAAAAATTTATATTATGAAACGTTAGACCAAAATCCCCAATTTCCTCTTTAAATTCATCAACTAATTGCGAAAAATGAAGGTAGATTCATGAAATATAATCAAAACTGAGTGTAGAACACTTTCTCCAATCCTTGTGATGAAAATGGCTCCAAAAATCAACTCAATCCGAGTCCCACATCTGAAAATATGAAGAAATAATCAAAACCTCGATTTTATAGCTTTTGCCCAGCATTTTCCGCATTTGCGGTAAAAATGTCGCATCTGCGACCTCCGCTTTTGCGGTTGAAATACTCACATTTGCGAGAAAACCGCTTCTGCGATGACCAGGACTGCACATGAGGTTGCGCTTCTGCGCAATTACCTCCGCTTCTGCGGACCTCTACCCCTCAAAGAAAACTCGCATCTACGATGCTTGGTTCGCATCTGCGGCTATCGCACCTGCGGAACATTAGTTTGCAGGTGCGGAACACCAGAACCAGCAGATCCTCAGCAATGAAAACATGAAAAACAATTATCCGAACATCGTTCGAAACTCGCCCGAGCTCCTCGGGACCACATCCACATATACCAACAAGTCGAATAACATCATACGGACCTATTTGAGGCCTCAAAACATACATAATAATATCAAAACGATGAATCACACCTCAATTCAAAAAACTTAAAACTTCCACAACCGATGCTGAAACCTATCAAATCACGTTCGATTGACCTCAAATTTTGCACACAAAGTCACATTTGACATTACGGACCTGCTCCAACTTCTTCAATCGGAATCCGACCCTGATATCAAAAAGTCCACTCTCGGTCAAAGTTTCCAAAATTCCAACTTTCGACATTTTAAGCCAAACTCTACTATGGACCTCCAAATCACAGTCCTTTTAAAGTTAAAGCTTCTAGCTGAGAATCATTCTTCCAAATCGATTTTTAACAACCTGAAAACCAAAACCGATGATTCTCATAATTCATAATGCATCATACGGAGCTACTTATGCCCTTAAACAACCGAGTGAAGTGCAAATGCTCAAATCGATCGGTCGGGTTGTTACATCATGCCCCACTTAAATATACGTTCGTCCTCGAACGTGCCCAAAGTTGTTTCAAAAACCAGCAAATCACAGTGTAACCTTACCATGCACATACCCGAGGGTGATCCCACGTCACCCTATCCCATATAGGTCTGACAACACAGCATAACTGAAATTCCTTAATCCATCCTAGCCCATGAGCCTTAGAATCAACTTCCCTCATACCTAATTTCTATAAGATCAGAATCTCGCATCCACACACTGTATAAGTCTGAACAAGTTGTATCAAGCCGTAATTATAACCCAAGATGTAATCACATGATATACCGCATAACTGGAATACTCATAGCAAAATCCCCAATCACAGTAGCTGCTCAAAACAACCCAATTCCGGTAATGAACCTTATAACAATAAAGCCTCGTCCTACCACCCTCATATACTACCAATGATGAAAGAAAGATGCAGAATCTCATAACCATTCATCAGACCAACAAGTCATGGAGCTCCCTCTCCTCTGATAGGAACTATAGCAAATTTCTAAGCCAACTTCCGATATTATCCTTCCAACCATGCTGTAATCAATTCCGATAGTATCCATTCTAGGTCCAATGACCTCATCTCATCCAATATGATCACTTTAGTGACATGACACATCAATACAATCTAAAGCCATAACTTGTGCAATCCTTGCAC